AAAAAATTATTTTTTATACGTATATACATATTTAAAATAATTTATTCTAATAAAACACATATACATATATATATATATAGTATATAGAATATATAGAAATTTTTATATAAATTTTTTAAGAGGTATTGTTAAAATTTTCACTTTAGCAAATAATTTGAAGAAAAACTTTATATAACCTGCTAACACATTTTTTTTCAATTCTGCAATTGTGATAATTATTCTATTTTTTGTTATTTATTTTTTTGGACGATTTTAATACTCACGGAGGTGAAATTCACCGGGGTACTATATTTCAAAAACGCACTAAGTAAATAGGATCGGGTATTCTAAGTAAAAATGTTCAAGACCCTCGAAAACATCACGCGAACTGAAATTGGGACCTTACATCAAAACTACATTATCAGATATATATTATTTTCAAGGATGCCCCATATATAATTATTTATAAAAACCCCTTCTTAAAAAAAAAAAAAAAAATTTTTTTCGATTTATATTAAAAGCCAATGCAATTTCACATCAGAAAAAAAACATTGTAATAGTGCGTAGCGTAGCGTTAGATAATTTTATCTGAAACCCGGCAAATCCGTCTGGCTCCCGTTTTTTAGTGGGTCGTTTTTGTCAATATGATTTATCAGATCAGCTGTAATTTTTCGCCCCTGCAGACAGCCTACATATAAAATGATAAAATTTTGTTAAGATAATCAAATCAATTTTTTTACTCTTATACTCGATATTACAAAAAAAAATGCAAGACGTACAAACAATCATATTTGTCTGTTATAATTTGCCGCCGTCAGATCTTCTTGCGATGGTATGCGTGTGTAAATATTTCAAAAATATTTTAGACGAAAGTATCAATCCATTAGCGAAAGAAATTTGGAGAAATTCTAGAATCAGTTTTACAATTTTTCAAAATAAGGAGCCACCCTCAGGAATGAGCCAACAAAATTTTGCGAGGCTATTAACATTTGAAAAGGGCTGTCAATTTTGTAAAACCAAAGAGAAACCGTTAACAATTTATTGGATTCCTGGTGTTCGCTCTTGCAGTGATTGTATGTTCCCAAAAACTTCTAGGTAAATTAATTTACTATTTTACATATATAAGTATATATATTTATAATAATTTGAATCCAAATAAAATTTTATTAATAATATTTAATAGTTTTGATATACTCAGGCCAATTTTTATGATCGATGATGAAATTCTTGGACTTATTGTACCAGTAACACCAAGCATAGATTTATCAGAATCTCCACATTATTGGAACGATCATGTTAAGAATACTATCGCGTTTTTTATGAATGCTGATGATAATAAGCGACGCGCGTTAAATAGCTTAAGAGAATATGTCAGAACGAAATATAATGAAGCTCAAAATTATGCAAAATGGATGTTTAATTTACGTAAAATCTACCTTTTAGGACTTTTTTCAAGAATTCACGGTGAAATCAGCGATGAAACTTTATTCAAGATGCGAGAATATTATGAATACAGAAATTTGAAGATTGAAATCAAATATAATCCTTTTTTAGTACAGGATTGGCAGCAATATAAATCAAGAATTTTACAAATCGCCCAAGGAATTGATATGAATCCCGCAAACACAAATTTTCCTTCTACACTGGTTCCACCATCAGAGAATATTCAAAAACAAAAAATGATTGTTAAACGTCTAAAGAAATTAACATATGGTTCAGAGGGAAGATCACTGCGTCGAGTTCTAAGCATTCGACACATACTATATAAATATTTGCCAATATGTCCAAGTTTCGTAAATCCACCGGGCCGCAACAAATGCCAAAAATTTTTCGAATGCAAACTTCTACCAGTTCTCATAGAAGAAGCTAACCAACTTTACGCAGCTAGGGCTGTCCCTCCACCATATTTTCTTAAAGTAGATGGTGCTTTAAAGGTTGGCAGCCTTCGAAGGCATCCAGTCTTTGAATGTCGTCTTTGTAGCGCATTTGCCCCGAGTGATGTCAAGAAAATTAGAGACCATTTTAAATATTATCACAATTATGAAGATAATGTTTATACTGTACTTTTTTTAGCGAAGGTAAATTGTGATGAAGTAATTCAACATTTACTTGACGCTTTTTTTTAAAGTATTCTTTTTTTTTTTTCTTTTTTATAAAGGTTAATTTTAATATGTATATATAATTTTTATAAAGGTTAGCTTTAATTTTTTTAGATAGTTTTATTATTTTAATAATAAAGTTATTGCACTATGCTTCATTATGCTTAATTATATAGTTTAATGGCATTGATTAACGAAAAAATATGTTTGCAATATAAAAATTATTATCTGATATATAGTTACTATTGATTATGCTACCTATACCAGGATGCAATCACAAAGTGTATACCAGGAACGAATGCATATGAGTATAAGGTTAATATAGTGTTTGAAGCGATATCCGTCCGCAAAATCTTAAGTTTGATTGGTCCGCATGACTTATTCATCAAATTTTGCTTATTCTTCACACATGAATTCATTACACCATTATTATTCACATATGAATTCATCACGCCTTAAATCTCTTGTGGATTAGTATGGTATAGGGGTATACGATATAACCGGACTACTGTATACTGATCTGCTATTATAAATAAATCGCTACGTAGATTTTTTAAAGTATACTATACGGATCTGCGATTTATTTATAATAGCAGATCAGTATACGTAGTACGTCCTCTTAGAATAAATTCTACTATACTATACTGATACTATACGTTTTTTTACAAAAAAAACACTACCGTATACATTTTTAAAACCTAGATTGCTTCAATAATTCAATAACCACTATATACTATACTTTATTTATTATTCACCAGTACTCATCTTACGCATTGCTTTTACAACTTCACTATGGTTTTCAATACTTTATCATAATCTATATTCGAAGATTTTTGAGTGCGTCCACTTTCGTACACAAGTATTCTTGTTTTTTTTATTCTTATATTTTAGTTTTCCTTACAAGCTTTTCTTACTAACTTTAATCGCCCCAGGATTTCATATATGGATCTTCCAGTCCTACAATTTCTACGATCTTGTTTCTCCAATAATTAATAGTTATCAGGTGACTTACTATGATTTTCTGCACAATATTATTGGGCAGACAAATCATAGTAAGCTGCTGGATAATAAATTTTTTATGGGTCAACTGCAAGAAAGATAACCTTTCGATGCTTGCCTTCTTTTACTAGCAGATACTCCATATGTATCTTGCAATTCAAACCCTACGATTTGGCGTACACCACACCATCATATCGGTCAATTCCAACTGTCTTGTATTTGCACCTTTTTTTATTCACGCTAAAATCTGTGCTATTATGGTTTCTTAAATCCTTAACATCTCGTTTCTTACTATTTCTACTAGACATCACAAGCTAAGTGCTCTGGTTTTTTACATGCGTAATTTAGACATCGATTTTTTTATTTGTTATCTATTGTTTAATTTACCTTAAGTTCCACTAACTTATTCTCTATTTTTCTATTGTTTCCAAGCTCTAATTGCGGCAAATAATACTAACTTCCCTAAGGCACACTAATCACGACTAATTTCGATCCCCACACACACGATCATATAGGTTTCCAGTTCCTAGTGATTGGTCTAATTCGCTTAGCAAACTTACTTGGTCAAAGATCTAAATCCTGAAAGTACTATACCCCGGGCTCAAAATCTCGAAAGAACACTATTCATTAATTAATTCGAAGATCAAACTCTGAAAACAAATGGGTCGTTGCCTTGAAAATGACCTTACGAGACCATGTAAATTTTATGAATAAAAATTAAAATTCCTAACCATCTAATAATCAAATTCAAATAATTATTTTATTTTATTTTGTAGGCTCTAAGCTCTACAAAATAAAAAAAGGTTATTTGAATTGGATTACTGGATAAATGGAATTTTAATTTTTATTCATAAAATCTATATAGTCCCGTAAGGTCATTTTCAAGGCAAAGACCCAAATATCCTGAATATAATAATCTCAAACGTTGCTTCGGCTGACCACAATGTTATGCAAAAATCAGAGTTTTTTGTGATTTTAAAAATCAAAGATCTTAATAAATACATTGAACATCTATTTTAATATTATCATATTCATATTTTTTTTTTGCCAATAGTTATTGCAACCTTTTTATATGGGGAAGCTTATAGCATTGGGTCAATTAATTAAAATTTAAAGTTTTATATAATAATTAACTATAGTTATTTTACAAAAGTGTCAAATTTATTAATAAAAAGGAAATTTATATTCATAACACCTAACCCTATACTATATCTCTAAAACGTATTAAGTAAACAGGATCGGATATCTTAAGTAAAAATGTTCAGGACCCATGAAAACCTTTATATATCAGCGTATTTTCGGAATTGGGTTTACATGGTTTTTTTAAAACGAACCCTAAATGTAAACATTTTATTACCTGTATATATATAAAAACAATTTAATGAGTAACTAACAATAACTAGCCTTACATCGCTATTGTAATTACTCTTTAAATTGTTTTATATACATACACGTAATAAATGTTTATATTTAGGATTTGTTTTAATAAACACAATTCCGAAAATCCGCCGATAGATATCTAATATATAGTATATTATATAAAAGACTCCTATATGTATTAAAGTTGTATTCTAACCCTAGTCTAACTCCAACTCAAACTATATAGAGTGTTATAATAACACGGTGTTAATATTTTAAATATGTATATACGTATAAAAAATAATTTTTC